AGAACTTGTTTTTCTATGATCGGACTTCAACGCCAAGAACAGATGGACGGAATGTAGAACAGAATGTTTCAGATCTGGACACGGCTTAAAGGAAGGAATTAGAACTTGTTTTTCTATGATCGGACTTCAACGCCAAGAACAGATGGACGAAATGTAGAACAGAATGTTTCAGATCTGGACACGGCTTAAAGGAAGGTATTAGAACTTGTTTTTCTATGATCAGACTTCAACGCCAAGAACAGATGGACGGAATGTAGAACAGAATGTTTCAGATCTGGACACGGCTTAAAGGAAGGTATTAGAACTTGTTTTTCTATGATCAGACTTCAACGCCAAGAACAGATGGACGGAATGTAGAACAGAATGTTTCAGATCTGGACGCGGCTTAAAAGGAAGGTATTAGAACTTGTTTTTCTATGATCAGACTTCAACGCCAAGAACAGATGGACGGAATGTAGAACAGAATGTTTCAGATCTGGACGCGGCTTAAAGGAAGGTATTAGAACTTGTTTTTCTATGATCAGACTTCAACGCCAAGAACAGATGGACGGAATGTAGAACAGAATGTTTCAGATCTGGACGCGACTTAAAGGAAGGTATTAGAACTTGTTTTTCTATGATCAGACTTCAACGCCAAGAACAGATGGACGGAATGTAGAACAGAATGTTTCAGATCTGGACACGGCTTAAAGGAAGGTATTAGAACTTGTTTTTCTATGATCAGACTTCAACGCCAAGAACAGATGGACGGAATGTAGAACAGAATGTTTCAGATCTGGACACGGCTTAAAGGAAGGTATTAGAACTTGTTTTTCTATGATCAGACTTCAACGCCAAGAACAGATGGACGGAATGTAGAACAGAATGTTTCAGATCTGGACACGGCTTGAAGGAAGGTATTAGAACTTGTTTTTCTATGATCAGACTTCAACGCCAAGAACAGATGGACGGAATGTAGAACAGAATGTTTCAGATCTGGACACGGCTTAAAGGAAGGTATTAGAACTTGTTTTTCTATGATCAGACTTCAACGCCAAGAACAGATGGACGGAATGTAGAACAGAATGTTTCAGATCTGGACACGGCTTAAAGGAAGGTATTAGAACTAGTTTTTCTATGATCAGACTTCAACGCCAAGAACAGATGGACGGAATGTAGAACAGAATGTTTCAGATCTGGACGCGGCTTAAAGGAAGGTATATTAGAACTTGTTTTTCTATGATCAGACTTCAACGCCAAGAACAGATGGACGGAATGTAGAACAGAATGTTTCAGATCTGGACGCGGCTTAAAGGAAGGTATTAGAACTTGTTTTCTATGATCAGACTTCAACGCCAAGAACAGATGGACGGAATGTAGAACAGAATGTTTCAGATCTGGACACGGCTTAAAGGAAGGTATTAGAACTTGTTTTTCTATGATCAGACTTCAACGCCAAGAACAGATGGACGGAATGTAGAACAGAATGTTTCAGATCTGGACACGGCTTGAAGGAAGGTATTAGAACTTGTTTTTCTATGATCAGACTTCAACGCCAAGAACAGATGGACGGAATGTAGAACAGAATGTTTCAGATCTGGACACGGCTTAAAGGAAGGTATTAGAACTAGTTTTTCTATGATCAGACTTCAACGCCAAGAACAGATGGACGGAATGTAGAACAGAATGTTTCAGATCTGGACACGGCTTAAAGGAAGGTATTAGAACTAGTTTTTCTATGATCAGACTTCAACGCCAAGAACAGATGGACGGAATGTAGAACAGAATGTTTCAGATCCGCACACGGCTTAAAGGAAGGTATTAGAACTAGTTTTTCTATGATCAGACTTCAACGCCAAGAACAGATGGACGGAATATAGAACAGAATGTTTCAGATCTGGACATGGCTTAATAGACATACTTTATTTTATTGCAATGCTCCTTAGATTTTACTAAATGTGCCATATTAGCACCTAATAATATCAAATCAAATCACCGACATTGAAAAAAAAAATATGAGAAATAGAATTAAATCCACAAACGTAATGAATTTAAAAGCTTAAAATAAAAAATGAATGAAGGGGCCCTTTTTTGGGAAAGCTGTCGTTATCGACGATCTTTAGTTCAGCTAAAAATAAATCTGCCCTATCAAATTCTCCATTAAACACCCACACAAAAAAAAGAAAGGTTCTAATGCGATGCATATCGCTTCCTTTGCAGTGTACTCATTTACCCTTCGTAAAGTACCAATTGATGTCAAGCAGTCTTTCCTCTTCGAGTCGATTTAAAACAATGACAGCAATCAAAGGTTATCTGCCTCATTGGAGACTTCTCCTTCTGTGTTTTTATGTGGCAACTTCTGGCTTTGTTCTTGTCGGGCGGAAGTTGTAAACCTGACACCGGGCAACTCCACGTCGAGCGGATGAGATTTTCGACCAGCCGACACTCATAATGAGAAATAACTTGGCTTGTTTCTCGGGGTCAGACGGAGACACTCAGAGCGAGAACGACTCGCATTCTAGTCTGGACGCGGGTTAAGGAGAGAGGATGGAGCTTGTTTTTCGATGATCAAACTTCAACGCCAAGAACATATGAACGTTCGAAGAAATGTTTCAGATGTGGATCTAATTCAACTCCAAGAACACTACTACTACACCACACCACACCACTGTGCCTAAAACTGAGTTGCCCCTTTACAGTTTGGGAATGATGTGGGTGAGAAAAAGTGTGATTGGCACTGTGACGCTCTTAGAGTTATATGAGACCGGGACCTACTGTCTAAAGTGGATTCCAATGCACTAACAAACATCCATAACACCGCCGGGAGTCGAACTCGAAATCTGTGGCACCGAGCGCCTGAGCACTAGAAACTTTTCCATTCAGGCCCCAATACCAAGAACAGATGAACGTTCGAAGAAATGTTTCAGATTTTGGAATTGGCTTAACATACATTTATCTCTCTTATTCTCTTATTGTAGATTATTACGGAGATCCTTGGCCACGTAGCGGCCTCTAGCTCCTTCTTTGATAAAATGTGGAAACATAGCGGTGGTCTCATGCCGTTTGAGTTAATAAGCAAAATAAGTAATTAAATGCCCCTTTTTTTAAAAGAGAATTATTTATTTAATAAAATTATAAAATGAAAAATATCAAAAATTTCAAAAATGTAAATGTTGACGGAATCAGTTGCATGTAATAACCCCGAATGAACAAGGTCAAATTAGGAGAAAAGCGAACTTTTTTCATCTAGGCAGTTGTAAGGAATTAATTTAAAATATTTAGAACAGTGCGAGGTCTTTTGCTATGTTTGCGGGAAGAAATATCATAATCGTAATTTTGTAGGATATTTAATACAGGGTTATTGATGCTTCGCATATCATTATAGAATTTAGTAGAAATTTTGTGAACAAATTGTCTTAAACTTGGAATCGAGAGAGCTCGTCTAATATCGTCATTACGAAAGTACCAGGGTGAATTCGTTAACATTCTGAGAGTTTTGTTCTCAAGCCTTTGAATAATTTCGAAATTTGTACGTGCGACAGAACCCCAAACTGGGCTTGCATAAGCTAAACATTTATCTCTATTTTCTTCTTTTGATTACAGTCAGATAGATACCTTAGATTTCACCAAATGTGCCCTATTAGCACCTAATATCATCAAATGAAATGACCGACATTGGAAAAAAATATGAGAATCAGAATTAAATCCGCAGAACGCTATGAATTTAAAATAAAAAAATGATAAAGAGGCCCTTTTTGGGGAAAGCTATCGTTAGCAACGATCTTCAGCTCAGCTAAAAATAAATCTGCCCTATCAAGTTCTAAGTTTCTAATGCGATGCATATCACTTCCTTTCCAGTGCACTCATTTACCCTTTTCTAAAGTACCAATTGATGTCAAGCAGTCTTTCCTCTTCGAGTCGATTTAAAACAATGATGGCAATCAAAGGTTATCTGCCTTATTGGAGACTTCTTCTTCTGCGTTTTTATTTGGCAACTCTGGCTTTGTTCTTGTCGGGCGGAAGTTGTAAACCTGACACCCGGCAACGCCATGTCGAGCGGATGAGATTTACGTCGCTTCACACGGATTTCAAACCTTTTTAACAGGAAAACTTTCAGCGCCTTCTTTCGCAAAAAGAAAACTTCCACTTTTTTCTTTCTTTATTTCTTTTCTTTTCATTTCCTTTTTTTTCTTTCCTAGTATTTCATTATTTAAGAAATAAAAAAAAAAAGTGTTCCAAGCCATGAGGGGGTAAACATTTTCAATTTCCGGTGGCAGCGAGAACGGTTTTCGTTCTTGCTGTCTAGTACTACTGAAACTTTTCGCTTTTAAGAAAGTTTCTCGCTGAAGAACAAAAGGTTAGAGAATGAATTAAAAAGAAAAAGAAAAAAGAAAAGGGGGGGAGGAGGAGAATAGAAAGTCACACAGCTAATGCGTTTGTTGGTGGCTGCGAATCTTTGGGTTGTTTCTTTCTGTTGGAAGTGAATTACTCGTGAAGGAACGTTTTGCAGTTCTAAAGTGCTGTTCTGTTCTTTTCTTTTGGACTGTTTATTTCTGGAACTATTCCCGTTCCATTAAATATTTCTTCGGGGGCGAAGTCTTTAGGAAGCAGCTAGCTGGAAAGAAGTACAAAAAAACAATATGGATGGGCTCCGTGTCAATTGCTTTTTGGATAATAAAGGAGCAATAACCTCACACTCAGTGCAACTATTAAGAAAATGGTTAAAAGAATGTTAAATCGTATATATGAGTATATTTTATTTCAATTATATTTATTTTTATATATATAGTTTAAGCCATATTTAGTTTTTATTGATTTATTTTTTTTAATATTATTTACTGCTATGATGATTTCAGATTAAAACATACATTAATATTCCTGTATACTACTACTACCATTACACCACACCACATCACTGTGCCTAGAACTGAGTTGCCCCTATACAGTTTGGGAATGATGTGGACGAGAAGAAGTCTGATTGGGCTCTGAGGCGCTCTACGGTCATAAGAGACCGGGACTTACGGCTTAAAGTGGATTCCGAACCACTACAAGCATCCATGGGCACCGCCGGGATTCGAACCCGATACCTGTGGTACCACTCGGCCATCGGGCCCCTAATATTCTTGTATAGGAAATAGACTGCTACTCTAGACCAGTGGTCCTCAAAGGATGCTTTCACGGCGCATGGTTACACCCTAGAATATTTCAAGGTGCGCCCTCTGTTAATTCAGAGAAATATGTGCTGAGAAATCTAGCGCTCTGTTGCTTGGTACCACAGGCTTCGGGTTCAAGTCCCGGCGATATGATGGATGTTTGCAGTTGTTTGGAATTGACTTTAAACAGTAGGTCACGGTCTAAAATAACTTTGCTTTTCTCCTCATCTCATCCCTGTACCTAGGGCTATGTAGCGCCCTAACAGTTAGAATGGTGAGGTTCGTCAGGAATAGTTAGCTGTAAAGAAGTAAAAAAAATATGGATCGTCTCCATGTTAATTTCTTTTTGGATAATAAAGGAGCAATAACCTCACGCTCAGTTGAACCATTACGAAAATGGTAATTACTACTGTGCCCAGAAAGTAAGACCAATTTTTTGTTTCAAAAACTCTTTATTTATTCTTTCAAATTTATTTCATCGCCTTCAAAGTAATCCTCTCGATTAACATGTCTCTCCTTACTAGCCAACCTTCAACAGAAAAGTAAGACACCCTTCGATGGTAACCAAAAACCAACTCTAGGCCGAGCGGTTATTCTTCACTTCTCCAAAGCTGACAAACCTCATCTGTACGATTTCCACTCAAACTGCAGAAAATTTTATTGTGAGGCGTTTAAAATTTTCGCTCTCTTACTATTGTGTCCAAAAAGTAAGAACAATTATATTTTTTTCAAAAACTCTTAATTTATTCTTCCAAATTTATTCCATCGCCTTCAAAGTAATCCACTCCGAACACAATGCACTTATGCCAACTTTTTTTTCCGATCCTCAATGCATGCTAAAAAGTCATCGGCAGGGAGGGCCTTCAAAGTGCGCGGCGATTCACATTGAATCTCTTCAGTCGACTCAAAACGGTGTCCCCGGAGTGGTCTTTTGTGGAACTATATCGGTTTCATTTTTGGCGAAAAAGTCACGAAGAATCATTGCAGTGTGAAACGGCGCATTATCGTGATGCAAAAACCAAGAGATGTCTTTCCATAAATGTGGCCTCTTTTTGTGAATAGCTTCACGCAAACAACGCAAGACACTCAAATAAAATTCCTTGTTGAAAATTTGCCCCGGATGGATGACCTCCAAAGCACGTTGAATCTCTTCAATAGATTCAAAACGGTGTCCCCGGAGTGGCCTTTTGAGTTTAGGGAATAGCGAGAAGTCGTAAGGAGTGAATACAGTGGTTGTGGAACAGTATGGGTTTCATTTTTGGCGAAAATTCACGAAAAATCAATGCAATGTGATCTGCCGCATTAGGTGTTTTCTGTACCAATCGAGATTTGACGCGTTTGAGGCCCAAAATGGAATGGACCAATCTTTTTGAAATTCCAACATCATCAGCAAGGTTTCTAATTGTAAATCGACAGCTTACAAGCACCAAATCTTTAATTTTTTTGGATGTGAGCTTCGTCGGTTGATGTTGAGGGTCGACCAGTGGGCTCTTCGTCTTCAACGCGTTCTCTGCCTTCTTTGAACTGTTTATATCACTTCGAAACATTTCTTTCCGATATAGTTTGCTCACCGAATGCCTTCTGCAACATTCTATACGTTTCTGCAAACAAAACTGAATGCACGTTCTTTGCTCAATGAATTCAGACACTTCAAAAATCGCCGAAATCAGTTTTAGCGTCTCACGAAACCAAGCGTAACTCAAACACTAATGAATAGTTTGTCGTCATATTTCTTACAGATGTCAAGGACAGTACCAACAACCTAAAAAAGAGAAAAAAATTGAAATTCCATAAGCCCCCGAGAATTTACATACATTTAAATTGCTCCTTCTATTTATTTTGTAAATATTTATTTGCCTAACATTAGCGCCATAAAGATAAAATTTCTGAGTTACGTTAATTATCTAGAATTTTTGAACAACTGTATAATCTATTACTGTACCACTTATAAATGGAAATAAATTGATCCTTGTAGGACCAAAAAAAGAAAGTAGCAGCTCTGGAAATGTTGTTGAAAATTGTATGCGCTGACTAATGTGCTTCATCATTCTGAAGACAGTAATTGTCTCATTTCTCTAAAGGATATTTATAAACTGGTTATAAAATGTTAATACTAAAAAGAAAGTAGTTTAAATAAAAAACATCTTACAAGTGCCTTACTCATAATTTATTGTAATGAATGCCGTTCGCAAGCATATTGTATTTAATACTCATCAGAGAAAAGAAATTTGCGTCACATTATCATAAATTCCCCATCAATGTCCCAGTTAAACAAATTATTTGCGCATTTGCGGTCTGGTCATCTGCCAAGAGCTCTTTTGAGAATAGATCCTTTCTGAAAAAGAAAGATGGAAAAAATAAAAATCAATTATTTACAGTTACAGTTTGAAGGCAATAAATTAAAATGGACTAAATACGAAAAGCATCACTCTACTGGCGCGAATTGCTTAAACCCATAAATATTTAAACAGCTGGCACTGAAACATAATCTATATACAGAATGCCTTTAAATGAGTTACACTAATTAATGGCAGGAATAAATAACATGTATTTTAAATATAAACAAAACACAATGTATAAAGTACAAAAAAAACAAAATATAATTTAAGATTTAGACTTCGAGTAGATTTTTAAACTTGTGATGTAAGCCAAATCTATCCTGAACTAGAATAAATAATCCGATGTATCTTTCAAATTCTTTACATGTTTTATTTTGATACAAGTTTTTAACTAATTGGTTTACTGTCTGTCTCATTTTCATAAATTGTATATAGAAAAAAGGTTTCATTCTATGTGGAGCTGTAGTGGTAACATATTAGGAGTGTTGAATTGGGTAATAACTTCATAACAAACGGAATAACTCGCAAATCAAAGTACTTCAATAGTCGCAAATCAAGTATCAAAAGTGCAAATCATTATATCTGACCAATAACAGACGAGCTGTTGATCTCGATCACTGTTGAATTAGGACAATTTTTTTTTCCATTATAATATCAGAACTTTTGGTTCGTGTATTTTCCTCCGCAGAAATTCTCATATTGTTCATGCAAACATAAAGACTTTATAATGATAAAATTTCAAACGATTTTATATAAAAGCACTTGAAAGAAATGTAATAAAATACTATAGTATACAGAAGGATTTCATAAAAAGCATGTGAAAGAAATTAAAAAATAAAATAATAATAAATAAAAAAAAACTATAGAATTCCAAACGATCTTATAAAAAAAGCACATGAAAGAAATTTAAAAAAATAATAAATAAAAACTACAGAATTCCAAACGATATTATAAAAAAAGCACATGAAAGAAATTTTAAAAAAATGATAAATAAAAACTACAGAATTCCAAACGATATTATAAAAAAGCACATGAAAGAAATTTAAAAAAAATAATAAAAAATAAAAACTACAGAATTCCAAACGATTTTATAAAAAAAGCACATGAAAGAAATTTAAAAAAAATAATAAATAAAAACTACAGAATTCCAAACGATATTATAAAAAAGCACATGAAAGAAATTTTTAAAAAATAATAATAAATAAAAACTACAGAATTCCAAACGATATTATAAAAAAAGCACATGAAAGAAATTTTAAAAAAATAATAATAATGAATAAAAAAAAGTATAGAATTCTAAACGATCTTATAAAAATGCACGTGAAAGAAGTTTAATAAAAGCACATGAAAGAAATTTAAAAAAAATAATAATAAATTTAAAAAACTATAGAATTCCAAACGATTTTATAAAAAAAGCACATGAAAGAAATTAAAAATACTAATAATAATAAATAAAAAAACTATAGAATTCCAAACGATCTGATAAAAAAAGCACATGAAAGAAATTAAAAATACTAATAATAATAAATAAAAAAACTGTAGAATTCCAAACGATCTTATAAAAAAAGCACATGAAAGAAATTAAAAATACTAATAATAATAAATAAAAAACTGTAGAATTCCAAACGATCTTATAAAAAAGCACATGAAAGAAATTAAAAATACTAATAATAATAAATAAAAAAACTATAGAATTCCAAACGATCTGATAAAAAAAGCACATGAAAGAAATTAAAAATACTAATAATAAATAAAAAAAAACTGTAGAATTCCAAACGATCTTATAAAAAAAAAAAAAAGCACATGAAAGAAATTAAAAATACTAATAATAATAAATAAAAAAAACTGTAGAATTCAAACGATTATATAAAAAAAGCACATGAAAGAAATTAAAAATACTAATAATAATAAATAAAAAAAAAAAACTGTAGAATTCAAACGATTATATAAAAAAAAAGCACATGAAAGAAATTAAAAATACTAATAATAATAAATAAAAAAACTGTAGAATTCCAAACGATCTTATAAAAAAAGCACATGAAAGAAATTAAAAATACTAATAATAATAAATAAAAAAACTGTAGAATTCCAAACGATTATATAAAAAAAGCACATGAAAGAAATTAAAAATACTAATAATAATAAATAAAAAAACTGTAGAATTCCAAACGATTATATAAAAAAAGCACATGAAAGAAATTAAAAATACTAATAATAATAAATAAAAAAACTGTAGAATTCCAAACGATCTTATAAAAAAAGCACATGAAAGAAATTAAAAATACTAATAATAATAAATAAAAAAACTGTAGAATTCCAAACGATTATATAAAAAAACACGTGAAAGAAGTTCAATAAAAGCACATGAAAGAAATTAAAAAAAATAAAAATAAATTAAAAAAACTATAGAATTCCATGCGATTTTTTAAGAAAGTTCATGAAAGAAGTTTAAAATAAACAAAAATAAATAAATAAATAAAACTAGAATTCCAAACTATTATGTATATATATAAAAAAAGACACGTGAAAGAAAGAAAGAAAGGAAAAAAACAAAAACAAATAAGAAACGTTGAAAGTGGGCAAGGAAACGAAAAAACTGATCAGGAACACGAAAACTCCCT